TGCGTCTTCCAGTACAATCTAAATGTTCACTCAACATCAAGATGAGTGGCAGAAGCTTTTATACTGCTTTTGAGTTCACCCAGAACATTTCCATTATCCCTGCTGAGAGTGATCTGAGACAATTGTGGCATTTGCAATGCAAAGCTGGAAGGGCTAGCTGAGCCTGCAAGTTCATCTGTGCTCAGTGAATGCACAACACTGGACACTAATGTGAACATTCAATAAAGGATGAACAAAAATGCACAACATTGTTTCTCCAACATTAAAGGAAATGACTGTAACCCCCAAATAACCATCAATGTGAGCCATCGCTGGTACGTTTAACTCTGACTAAGCTAGTTTTGATGATATTATAATAATGTACATTTGAATAAAGTAAAACCAATGTAACGTGAAATTAGTTACTAAAATTAGTTTTGGAAAACACCCATTGCCACCTTTTGTGCTCTCAATAGGACTTGTGGAAACTGTTCAAGTTTCTCACCAGCTAAGAAATAAAAATCCCTGTAATAGAACAAAAACAGAAGTTGCTGGAAAAGTTCAGCAGGTCTGGCAGCATCTGTGGAGGAGAAAATCAGCATTAACGTTTCAGGTCCAGTGACCCTTCCTCAAAACAGTTCTGAGGAAGGGTCACCAGACCCGAAATGTTAACTCTGATCTTTTTCTTTCCCCATAGATGCTGCCAGACCTGCTGAGCTTTTCCAGCAACTTCTGTTTTTGTTCCTGATTTACAGCATCTGCAGTTCTTTTGGTTTTTATCCCTATAATGAAGTTGGCCAGAGAAGTTTTTATGGCTGTGATCCAGGGTCCTCCCATTTGTCTGGGAAGCTCTTTTATAGCCTGCCCAAAGCTGCTGCATTATCAGCTGACAGTGGTTTCATCACTGAAGAGCTTAATCCACCATGTGATCACATGAGAAACTGGAAGTTGTGCGCACTGTTAGTTACATTGTCAAGAACGACTTGCTGTGGACAAAATCTCTTCTCCCTCCCACCCCCCAAAAAAAGACAAAAACATGAACCTTGAAATAATATTCTGTATACTGGAAATACATGCAGCGGTAGGAAACTCTGAGCAAAAACTTTTGCTGTGTTGCTGTTCAGATAGTCTTCCCCAATTCTCTGTAGAGTCATGCTCATAACTTCAGGTTTTGTTTCCTCCTAATGGTCTTTGGAGCTGTATGTTGTTACTTGCTGTCCCCAACAAAATGGGAATTCAGCATTTCTTTAGTTTGTCTTTTGTTTCATTTACTAATTGCTGTGTTTACTTGTCTTTCTGCGCCTGTCTGTGAGCTGTTGTGTTTGATCTTTGCTGCTCATGTTGATATCGACCTCAGCACTAAATGACTATACAATGAGAGTTTGCGGCAATTGTCACAGCTTGGCAAAAGAAGTCTGTAATGGTGACTTGCATCTTGATTTTTTTTTTAATACATCCATAGGATTTGGACATTGCTGGCTAGGCCTGCATTTATTGGTCATCTCTAATTGCACAAGAGAAGGTGGTAGTGAACTGCCTTCTTGAACCTAGTTCTTCCACCTTGTCTAGTTTATTCTGTTTTTTTTAATTACACTCTTCAATGGCTCTGCTGGGCTAGGTACACCCCATTCTGCATCTTGGCAAGTTCATGTTTCTCATCAGCTAAAATAAAAATCCCCAAAATAAAATATACAGTAGTATTGTGCCTTCTGATAGCCATCTTGCCTCTGTACGTGCAAGCTCAGAAATTGAATCAGCAAAGCACTTTTATTGCTGTGGATTTAATAAAAAGAACAAGTATTACTGCTGCTATATATTCTATAGTGGCAGAAACAAAGTGCTGGAGATACTCAGGTCTGGCCTCATCTGTGGAGAGAGAAACAGATTTTAAAACTTTTGAAGAAGAATCATACTAGACTCAAAAGGTTAATTCAGCTTCTGTGGAGAGAGAAACAGTCAGACCTGCTGAGTTTCCCCAGCACTGTCTGTTCTTTTTTTTCAGATCTCCAGCATCTGCAGTATTTTACTTCTACATAGTTGAGAAACCTGGGCAGCATCAAGAAGGGAGGAAAAACTGGATTCTAATGAGACGGATGTGTGGAGTAACAAGAATGATCCATATCAGGAACCAGAAACTCACGGCCAGTATGGATTGTGGGGGCAGTGAAGAAAGTGGCCAGGAAGAAGATGGCACATTCGCCTGTTGCTTCTCTCTTGCTGTGCAATGTGATGAGCGGACCAATGGAGATGGGATTTCCAGGAAGAAGACATGGAAAGGCTAAGACTAGATAGAACATTGCAGTGACAAGAGATATGAGCACATCAAGATTCTCCTGAGGAATGGATGACTGATGGGCAGAGGTGGCAAAAGGTGATTATTGGCAACCCTAAAACTGGAAAAGCTGAAAGGGGAAGTTGCCGATGAAAATATTCTGAAAACTCTGTTCAGAATCTTTCACAGCGAGCATGCCTTGCTTCACTTTGGGCTGTTTAAACCCATTGGTGTGAAAAACAACTTTATTTTTTGACACACTAAAATCTCTCTGGTCATTTCCTGCAAGGCCACTGTCGCAGGCTCCAAAGCAATTAGCTGGCTGTTTTCTGCTCAAGTGTTAAACTTGTATGTCATTTAGAAAAGTCAGATGATATTTATTTCCAGTTATCTTGAATGCTTTGCAAAACAAAATGTCTTTTGTGTCTTTAACCCATACACACTGAACACAGACATGTAAATGTAATATTTAAAAATGTCTGGAATCAGGTTGTACAGCAAAGTGACTATCCTGCAGCAAAGCTGTTTCTTCACATAAAATCAATCTATCGTTTGCCAGTGCCATTTGACATCTGTATTTTTTCCAGTTCTTTGGCAATCTGCTGTCCTATGATTTCAAAGATATCATTGACTTGGCTGTTGCGTGAAGCATTTTCTATGGCACTGTGCAGATGAGATTATAATATTTAAATCCATGATAGTTGTGGATCTCATGACCTCTTGTTTTTTAATACTGACCAGTTTTAGCCTTTGATTCCAGCAAAAAATGAACACCGCTTCTTGTATGTGCCATGTTTGATGACTAAATGTTGATAATTTGGAGGCTTTTGGAGCGTCACCAGAACTGTCTTCTGCACAAATGACATTCTGTGGTTGAGTTATTTCTCGATTTAATAGATTGAAGTCACTGTCTGTCTGTGTTTGTTTCATTTTTGCTGGGTCAATCATTTTGTTTTTGTTGATTGTATTCCTTCAACATCAGTCTAAGGATTGAAGCAGTTTTTGATGACTGAGAAGTTAAAACAAGTGGGTTGCATTGTTTTGGAGCTGATGGCGACATTAAACATTTGCCAACAATGCCAGATATAGATAATTTCCAATATCTTTCTCCTCCCCCCACCCTTTGCTTCCACAGAAAATCCTTGTGTAAAAAATGAGTTTATTAATTCCTAAATTTACATGATGTGCTCATTCACCGTACAATTTCTGCTGAACCCATTTTGATAATTTGCTGACCAGGTTATTAACCAGGAGAAAATAGCACAGTGCTCACTCTGGGCTTCGTTTGAGTACATCAACGGGACTAAGAGTCCAGGTTTGTATCTACTTTTTTTTTATGCCAATCCTGTATATATGGCAGTGAAAACCAGTGAATTAACCATGTCAGTAATGTGACAAATGGGGTGGGGGGGTTGGGGCGAGGAAAAAAGGTCTTGAATGATTTTAACAGACCCAATCTCATTGCTATAAAGCCTTCAGTTACAAAGATCTCACTTTCTTCCTCCCATCTTCACTCCCCCACATATAGCTAGCAGCATTGGTTTAAGGGACAAGAGTAGGTCTATTCACCCACTTTAGAAGCAGGTGGCCGTGAATGTTATGCTTCAAGTAGTAGAATGCCGTCAGCTATTTTATAATTCAGGCTGGAGACAATAAAGCAGAAAATCAGATCACATTCCATTTTATTATAATCTTAGCGATTGTTGAGACACTGCCTAATCCCTCTTTTCAAATGGAGCAACTGTACATTGTATCTTGTACTGGGACCTTTTCTACTGGCTCACTGTGCAGGGTAGACTCCCAATGGGTGGGGGTAAATCAACTTTAGAGATTGAGTGGGACAAGCCAACTTGCAGACACCGTCTCAAAATCCTTTCATGGAATCTTGATTGAGAATCCATGTTATTATATCGATGTTTGATTCCAGTTGCACACTTTATTTAACAAAAAATCTTTAGTGATGCTTCCTTCCTTGTTCTTAGTATTCTGGTAGCATTTAATCAAAGTATAATTGTTTTATTCTCCCAAACAATTTCAGGAAATGGACCTTTTGAACCATTTGGTGGACATGAAATCCGTTCAGTGTTAACAACTTCAGTTGTAGCTGGCTGAAATACAAACAGCAGAGTATCTTGTTTTGTCACGTAGGTAGTGCTCTGAGGCTGTTTGATACATGCAATGCCTTTTTCTTCTGGTTTTGCACTTTCAGGAACATTAGTTACTTTGTCATTTTAGTTTGTTTTACACCTGTAATTTCACAATTTAACCACTGAGAAATAGTGGCATTACAGGTTTAGTGAATGTTAGCTTGGCTCAGTGTTCTCAACAAATTTTCTGTATCATGATTGCCAAGTTCTGAAGACAAGTCATCATGGACTCTGCTTCTTTCTTCACCGATTTTAATGTCAGACTTGATGAATTTCTCCAGCAATTTTGTGTGTTTGGTTCAGATTTCTGGCATCTGTAGTGTTACACTTTTATTGCCAAGTTGCTTTTGGTTTGAAACAAGTACCAGAAACTTGAATTCTTCAGTGTGGACAATATATGCTGCAGTACATTTTTCTAGTGTTCTTGGAGCAGGGCAGCAAAACAAATAGATCAAGATTATTTGGAGACCATTTGTGCAATGTTCTCGTCGTCTCATTGCCAACAGGGCCACAGTAGGATTCTTGTAATTGATCTAATTTAAGATTGTTGTTTGTTGAAGGCAACTAATTTAACTTGTACTGTTAAATCCTGATTTCTGCAGGTTTGCTGGTGGGAGCTTTAGATGCAGTGCTCGATTCCAATGCCCGTGTTGCACCATTTCGAATTTTGCATCAAATGCCTGGATCACAGGTGTATTGGGCCATAGCTTGTGGTATGTAAAATCTCCATAAAGCTTACCCTATTGCACATTTTTCTAAACAATGTTGTTACATTTTGAAAGTACGAAATTGGGACAATATACCGAATTAGATATTTTCCAACATGTACAAGGGAGATTAAATGTTTCCGTACTAAGTACCATGCATTTATTTATTTAATTATTGATAACTGATTTTCAATCAGAAGCCTAAATTCAAAAGAATTTTTTTAGCAAGATACTTTATTAATGCAACCCAGCAATGCTAGTAAACACTGAACAAATACTGTGTATAAATGAAAAATAGACTGAAAAAGAGAAAACAATACTGGATAGATTAAAAGAGCATGTACAAAATTTGGTGGAAGCATTCAAAGGCAAATTAAGGATGAAAGAAATTAAAACTATGTATATTTGAAGCAATTAATTAAAACTAAAGTACTTATTTTTGGTTCTGTGGTTTGAGAACAATAAGAGTTCAAATAAAATTCCACAAGTTTATCTGATGAGTGTTATTTTTGAAATAGGAATAGAAGTTTGTTTACTTCAGTCTTTCATGGTGTCTTGTATAAAAACACACGGTTGCTGGTTTGACCTGGCCCAAATCCCTCTTTCATATTGAAATCCATTTTATGGAATTGGTCCCATCAAAGCCCCTGATACTCCAGTGCCATGTTTTATAGTTATCTATAGAAAACTACTGCAAAATCTCCGTTTCTCATATTTAATATTTAAAGAACCCAAGTAAACTGGCACTCTGCTGACGATTCAATT